AAAAAAAAGCGGAAGAGACAAAGACGAGATAAATGAAGGCAAACACCGATAGGGATTTGGAAATATGGCGAAAGAAACAAAAACAAAGCAACCTGAGAAGCAGAGGGACAAAGAAAAAAGGAAGTGTCAATTGAGAATTGTTGTCCGATATTCAGTCCTTGTCATCCAAGGTCGATGAGTATATCCGTTCGAAGACCTCGAGATGCAATTTAAAAAAAAAGTTGATATCATTCCAAATGAGTGAGTGCAGTTTCGCTATTGTTAAAGACTTCGATTTGCGAAAGAAATCAATCAGACCTGTCCCTTCCTTGTCAGTTTATATCAAGAATTTTTTTTTATTTGCTTCCACCGAGAGAAAAATCTTAACAGAAAATACAAAAGACTAAAATAAAAAGAAATGAGTTTTATGATTTTAAAAAAAAAAAAAATTACGCAAATTGCACGATGAAATTTTAAAATTAAATTTATTGTGCATGTTTCTAATTTGCTAAAAATAACTTGACTTCCCTTTCTGGAGATGTTAAGGAAATTAACTAAGAGAATACAATGGGGTTAGTTTTCATTAAATTCAGGAGCATAAATCGAAAGAGAAAGAGAGAGAGAGAGAGAGTGTGTGTGTGTTTAAGAGAGAGATTGTGTGAGACACATTATATATATATATATATATATATATATATATAGAGAGAGAGAGAGAGAGAGAGAGTGTGAGAGAGAGAGAGAGAGAGAGTGTGAGAGAGAGAGGGAAGTCGAGAAAGAAAGAGAGAGGGGAAAATGTGAGAAAAAGGGTAAGGGAGAGAGAGAGGAATGGAAGAGGGGAGGGAAAGGAGAGAGAGAGAGAGGGGAATGAGAGAGAGGGAAAAGGAGACAGAAAGAGTGAGAGAGAAATATAGATATGGTGAGAGAGAGAAAGAGCGAGAGAGAGGGAAAGAGGGATAGTAGAGAAAGAGAGGGGTAAATGAAAGAGAGAGGGAAAGAGAAAGAGAGAATAAAATGAAAGAGAGGGAAGGGAAATGGACGAGGAGAGAAAAGGAGACAGAAAGGTATGAGAGAGAAATATAGATATCGTGAGAGAGAGGGAAAGAGGGAGAGTCGAGAGAGAGAAGGGAAAGAGAGAGGGAAACGGAGAGAGAGAAGGAATTACATACATATATATATATATATATATATATAATTACACTCGGTTGGTAAAAAAACTCGGATAGCACAATTAGCAAGTATATCAAAAAAAAAAAAAAAAATTGGGAAAAAAACCCAAAAAACGAAAAGAACTAGAAATGTCCAAACAGGGGGGGTCGTCCAGTGCCTTAAGAATTCCAGTCAAAGACCCCCCAAAAAAAAACAACAAAAAACAAACGACTAACTAAGCTAAAACGTAGAATGCTCACTATGCTAAGTAGAGCAAAGATAAATAAAATAAATTCCAAAGAGCCAGGAACCTACCTAGGTTTCACCTGAACGGATCTTCAGGTGAATCCTAGGATTTCTTATATGTATATATCGTTGGGAAAAGTGGAAAATAGTTCATGACCCACAAGGCTGCGTAAGCGTTTCTGCTTTTATTTTGTTTAGTGCTTTATTAATTTCTTTTCATGAGTGACTGTTTCAGTTGTAGTTTTTGCGCAGTCTGAATAGTGGTAACGCTTATTCCGAGCTCCACGATTTGATCGTGGCTGTAATTCAAGTTGGCGACTTTTTATTTAAAAAAAGAACACACCATTTTCGCTGCTGAATAAGATCATATTTATGGTGGGTGCCAGATGTTTTATGTATTAGGGCTTCTCTCACAGCGAGCTTTTTTCGGTAGCGAGACCTATATATATATATAAAAGAAAGATTGCTTCCCAAATATAAATGATTAATATATATATATATATATATATATATATATATATATGTGTGTGTGTGTGTGTGTGTGTGTGTGTGTGTGTGTGTGTATCAGTCAAATTAGTTTTTTGTGGACAGTCGTATTTGAGTAGACGGTCCGGTTATTGATTAAACAGAATTACTTATATAAAACTTTCACACAAACAGGCAGACAGACATTCTGAATGCAATAAATTAATTTGATTCATAGTTTCTATCACATTTTCCTTACATATAGTTTTTTCTTTCTTTCATTTTAACTCGAAGAAGGCAGAGAGAGCAGACGTTCTCAGTGAAACGCATCGTATATGGCTTTTCCATTTTGTCACATCATCTTTATGCTTGTCAGTTTAATAAATTATTAGTAGTCTTTTAGAAATTATCATGGATTCCTGTAAGGATTTTATCTAAAGGAGATACGCCCTATTCCATTAGATAGCAAATATATGTCCAGAAAACCTCCTAGAAACGCCCTTCGGTACTTTCTTTAATGCAGTGAACCTTCTTGAAATCTCAGTATCCATATAATATACATCAACATATTTAAAATAGTTCTAAATAAATGAAAAAAAAGATAAAGAAATTTTGATTTTTGAAAGCCAGCTTGACTAAATAATGACAAATCTGAAAACTTTATGTGAAATATTTTGCCAACGTATTAAATAATTAAGGTTTTAATCGTTCTTCTGGTTCTCAGTAAATTCACTCTAATTCAAGCAATCACGAGTGAAAAAGATGAAGGAAAAAAAGCAAAATGTCTGACTTTTTTCCAAATGAGGCTGAATAGCATTAGTCACAAATTCGACTTTGTGGGAGACAACTCGGATTGCAACTTTTAAGCAAGCAGCATAGCGCACATTAGGCTAGATCTAGTCAAGAGAAGCAGAAGACACTTCATTCTTTCATGTCAAACGAATTCAGATGCAACTCTACTACCATTCTGAGTTTATTACATCATAAATTTTCCCTCCTTCGACGAATTTGGGAGCAGCCATATTGCTTTTATGCGATAGATTTTGGAGATCGTTCCCCCTGTCTCTGTGAAAGACATGACATTGCATAACACGGGAAAATGTCCTCTACGTTCGTTTACTGGTTATTTTAATTTATTTACTTTTATTTTTCTGCACGTTTTTTTGTTCATTTCCAGCATTAATGAAAGCTCAGGAGATTTTTGAAAAAAACAAATGATGTTTTGATAGCGAGAAGAATATTTTTTTTACCGTTTATCTTTATTTGATATAAAAAGCACGATGAGCAAGTTGTCCATTGATGAATAAAAATATAAATTTAAATTTTATGGAAGGAGATAGGTTTTAGGAGATTTTTAGAAATTGCATATGTTGAGGGGTTAATCGAACTTGGAGCAAAATAGAAAGAGAAGAGTGAAATAAAATAAAAATAAATGAAGGAAAATAGCATAATAAAGAAGGATTGAAAGATGGAGAAAAGAGAAGAAGAAATAAATGGGAAAAAAATCAGAGAAAGACGAAGTGAGAAAAAAAGAAAAAAAGAAAATAGACGATCAAGAGTAGAGGAATGGTCAGAAAAAGAATTGGATAAAAAACATTTGAATTTTAATGAAGGTAGCAGAAAGAACAAAACATGAGAAAAAGAAGTAAAAAATGTAAAAGAATAAAGCAGAAAAAAAAAGGTAAGAAAAAAATAAGCGGGAAATGATTGAAATACACAGAGTGAAAGTGAATAATCGCAAAAGTAATATCGACATAAAGAAAGATGAGTAAAGAATAGAAAAAGAAAGAAAGTAAAAGAAATAGAGAGTGGGTAACTGTAAGAAAAAAAAAGAAACAGGACGCTTGCGATGTCAGAAATAGATTTTGATAAAAGAGAGGATAATAGAAAGAGATAGTAAGCGTAAAGTGAATATAAAGACACAGGAAGGAAAACAGAAAGAAGGAGATGCTATGTATAAAAGGAATATAAAGAAGGCGGGAAAAAGGAAGGAAAGAAAGAAAGAAAGAAAGAAAGAAAGGAAGGAAGGAAGGAAGGAAGAAAGAAAGAAAGAAAGAAAGAAAGAAAGAAAGAAAGAAAGAAAGAAAGAAAGGAAGGAAGGAAGGAAGAGAATGTAAGCGTAAAGAGAAATATGAAGACACAGGAAAGAAAACAGAAAGAAGGAGAAGCTATGTACAAAGAGGAATATAAAGAGGGTGAGAAAAAGGAAGGAAGGAAGGAAGGAAGGAAGGAAGGAAGGAAGGAAGGAAGGAAGGAAGGGAGGGAGTAAATGTAAAGAGGCATTCAAAGAAGAGAAAAAGGAAACGGAAAACAAGAGTAAGGGAGAGACAGTAAGTGTAAAGAGAAGATGAAGCTGGAGGATAGAAAAAGTAAAGAAAAACAGAAAGAAAGAACCGACGCTATGTGAAAAGAGAAATATAACGATGGCAAGGAAAAAGTAAGAAGAAAAACAGATGGAATGAAGAGGCAGTGAATATAAAGAGCGATATAAAGAAGATGAAAGAGAAAAGGAAGAAAAAACAAAAGGAAGGAAGAAACGGTAATTGTAAAGAGGTATATGAAGAAGGAGGAGGTAAAAAAAGAAGGAAAAACAGATGGAAGAGACAGCAAATGTAAAGAGGAAAGAAAAACAGAAAGAAAAAAATGCAATAGAAAGAAAAAAATGGAATAGAAAGAAGAGATGAAAAAGGGTAAAAATAAAGGAGATGAAGCAAAGGAAAGAAAACGAAAGGACGAACAAAAAGCTATGAACCCCCCAAAAAAAAAAAAAAACGAATCGAAAAAGAGGCGGAAGAAAAGAAAAAAGAATGGACTTCCGCCATAGTTAAAGTCAAAGAGAAGAAAAATCAAGGAAAAAAAAATAAAAAATAAGATAGAAAAAGAGCGAATGAGTGACTGAAAAAAAAAAAATCGAATATATCACTCAGCCCAAAATGTTAGTGAAGTTGTAACGATTTAACCTTTCTTCACCCGCCATTGCGATATATGTTAATCTCCAAGTTGGCTGGATAATTATCGCAGGCTTATGATGACTTGTTGCGTGGATCTCGAAATGAGAGGCCACAGAGATTTAGACAGAGATGTCCATTTTGTTGGACGATGTCAAGGATAGATGAGGAAACAAACAAAAAAAAAAATGACGAAAAGACAACCGGATGAGACATACTCTATTGCACAGGGGAATTGAAGCCAACACATTTGTAAACATGCCTCTCTATCCATTGCCCTTCCTCTCTCTTTCTCTGCCCTCTGACTCTGTCTGTGTGTGTGTGTCACTCTCTCTCTCTCTCTCTCTATATATATATATATATATATATATATATATATATATATATATATACACACACATCTCTTTCTTCCAATACACACACACACACACATATATATATATACATCTCTCTCTCCCCATATAATGGACTCTCCGTTGGTTTCGACGTATAAGGATCTGACAGCCTATTGATTCAGTTATGAAATTTTGTGCGATAATCTTAAGTGGCATTTAAGACCCGCTAGTGATTTACAAAGGAGGCCACATATGTAGCAAGTGAGAGGCTTGTGAGATATGAGATCACTGTTAGATTGGCTGTCCTTTTAGATCTTGTTGTCGCTTCTCCCCCACCCAAATATTATATATATATATATATATATATATATATATATATATATATATATATATATATATATATATATCATCATCAACAGACAGATTGTTTCGCTGTATCACAGTTCATCAGTGTGGCTAGATATCCGATTGCTTCGAGCCGGGATTGGAATTCAACCGATTTGGCATCAGTAAGAGACTCTACTTAATCATTTAATGTATTATATACGTGATGTATATAAACATTAGACCAGCATCCAGAGCGCTCAATTCTGACGAAGAGCTATGTGCTAAGCAGGAGCAGAAGCTGTTAAAAATTCCCTTTTTCCATAGTGGTCAATCAGCGAATGAGAGCATATAAATATGTGTGTGCATGTTTGTGTGTGTGAGTGTGTGTATGTTTTTAGTGTTTTAGTGTATTTACGTCTTTACAATTTGACATAAGATTTATTCTACAAGTTCATCTGTTCTTTGTATTGCATCGCTCTTAGATATTCTCGTATTGTGTAGTGTATACAACATGAAATATATACTCGTATTTGTTTGTATCACAAATTGCTTGAAAATATCCTTTTTTTTGTTTTGTAATGATTTTTTATTGAAAGACGTTTCCGTCGCATTTTCCTTGTAAAATTTTCCAAGTGTTGTGTAGTGAATATATTCCTTGGAAACTGTTCGCGTATTGTTTGTTGTGCACTGTTTTTTTAAACATGCTCCGTTTGTCTTGTCCTTCTTTCTTGGAAGATCTAGTTTGTATTTCATTTTCTTTGAAAAACGTTCCCATTTGGTCTTGGTTGTTTCTTAAAACATATTTGGTTGCACTGCCTCTCCCATGAAAGATCTCTTTCGTGTTCACAGTACTGCATCTTTGTCGATAGTTGTTTTCATCTTGTTTTGTATTGCGTCTCCCTTGAAAGATGACACTAACTTTTGTAATCTGTATTCCTCGAAATACGTTCTCGTGTTGTTTTGTACTTTATCTTTTATGAGAATCTTCAGAGCAATCTCTGTCCCTGAGCTCAATATATATATATATATATATATATATATATATATATATTGAGATGGACAGAGATTGCTTGAAGATTCATTATATATATATATATATATATATATATATATATATATATATATATATATATATATATATATTCATGAATTATTCACACAAAAACAAATGCAAAGGTTAATGATTTAATTGGCGAGAAATCCATCATCAAAACAATTCAAATAATATACAAAAAACCTCCGAATTCGTTATGAATGAAATGATCCTTGTTTCTATAAATTTCTGCCGTATTAGTTCTTATTTTTACTACAAGCTTTCGTCTGTTCCTACAGACATCTTCAGGTATAGAATAGATGTTGTTCTTGTTTTTTCTCTTAGTAATAAGAGGACAACGAAAATATATGTATTGTTGTATCCGAAAATGCTATTGAAAATGAGTCATTGTTTTTGGAGCGCATTGTTTTTGGAGCGCGCAGTAGCAACGCTGAGTTTGATTTTAAAATTTTTAAAGGTTGTGCGTTCATATAAATATGGTGATGAACGAATTTTTTACTGGTAAATTTTCTGTCAAAGTGGCATGAACAACTGTTTGATAAATAAAAGTGTGCCGTCTATTTCAAATGAGAAGTGTCACCTACACTAACGTTTGAAGTAATAAAAATGTCGCATTGAAAATAAATCATTAATTCAGGCTTGAAGATTACGCTCTAGCATGAAATAGACTGTCACGGTTCGATGTTGACCCCAGTGTCCGCTTTTATATTTGCATACGCTGAATTTCTAACATTGAGCACTTTTATTCGTAATATAGTGTTGTGAGGGAGAATATTTCCGTATAGGTTTGGACTCAATAAAATCGGACGAAAGCCATTAAAACACTCCTACATCAAGGGGAGTAGTAGGAGGAGCAGTAGCGGCAGTAGGCTTTGCTAAAAACAGTTATTCACGGCTAAAAAGTTACTTCCCTAGTTTCTAAGTATGAGGGCGTGGGACGAAAGACTAAAGAGAGGGGTAACAGACGAGAGAAGGTGGAAGATTAAAACTTAACAGAGAGAAATTTTAGGGAGGTGAGTGGAAGAGGTTTAAGTGAGAAAAACATGAATGCTGAAGGATGTCCAATACATTAAAGATACATTTCGTGGTGACATACACACCATAGACGATCTAATGTTAAAGATCAGAATAAGAGTGAGGGAGAGGAAAAGAAAAGAAGGAGGGTTCGTCCCACACTCTCATACTTACACTCTCTCTAAATTCTATTTTTATTTCCAGAGTTGTTTTTTCTGTTTTCTTTTTGAATTTGTAGGTCTGATGAAATGGATCGTATTTACGATTCCAATGGAATAAATTATGACCATGGAATGTTAGTGTTTAAGACTTTTTATTATATATATATATATGTATATATTAAAAACAAGAGAGATACCACAAACGTTTTTGGTTGTAATGTGGATTTTTTTAAAGGAATATTATGCTTTATTTTCCATAATTTTACTACACGTGTTTCTGGTCTCTGTTTGGGTTTATTTACCATTCTCTTGCTGCTTCTTGAACGGACCTTGAAGATGGAAGCTAGTGTATGAATTTTGGTGTCCTTAGTGATGGTCTGTAGGATCTTTGTTTCCTCTCACCATTGGAAAGACAGTGGGGCTAACATAAAACGTTTTTAACTTTTTATCTTTCTTGCTGTATAACTCAAATGGTGTTTCAGTGATTCTTACAACAAACGGTGTCAATATGGCTAAACCTGTAAAAAAGAAACTCACTATAGTTTAGTGTTTTTTTGTTTTTTTTTAGATATTAAGCATTTTGTGGGATGGACAATAATCCCATGCTGTTACACGACTTAAACAATTTTTCTTATAGTAAGAATAGATGATCAGTGTAATGTTACTGTAAATATAGGAGAAGTTCTCTTCACTGTAATTCCTGCTGTTGCACTCCGAAAGTGCAATACACCTTGACATTCCTTACACTACACATTTTATTTTTATTCTCACACCACAGTTGGTTGCCTACGCCTTGAAGATCCTTAATTATCGGTCAGCATCTGTCTGTTTCAATCGTCATTATCTGATGAATATCTCTCTTCGCCTACATATCTACGATCAATGGATTGGTAGCGTGTTAACCTTTGAGTGTATCAGATGATCACTGGTGAAGGAGTTATGAAGAGAAAAGCACACAACATGACCGAGACAATCTTAACCCATTCGTGGTTTTAGAAAAAGAAAGAAAAACATGGAAGATATATGTAATAAGAAGAACAAAAAAAAAAAAAAGAAAAATGATGAGTTTCTCTTTAATTAACAAGTGTTGAAAAGAGCAGATATTTCTTTACCAGTACAAGAAGGGCGTTGCTTTGTACAGCAGAGAAAGTATTTGCCCCCCCCCAAAGACATACAAAACAAATAAATAAATAAAAATGTTAAAAAATAAACAAGGATTATCGCATCTTCTCTCAAGTATCGATTGATAAATCCTTTTGCCCACGTAACCCTCACGGCACGACAGATATTTTCTCTCCTCAGATTGTGAAGTAGTTTCTGTCGTTGCTATAACACGGGGAATTATCGTGAAGGCCTTAGCAAAAGTTTACAGTCCCACCCTTATATATATAAATTTTCTTTTAGTCATTTAACCTCAAGACAGGCGATAATGCGTAGGGATTGAAAAGGAATGAGAAGATTTTAGTGGGGAGAAAGGACAGAAAAGGAAAATTTAAATTCTTGAAGATTGCATGAATATTTTTCATGAAGCAAGACATCTGAAGAAAGTTCCACAGGCGAGAAAATAAACAATTAGAATAGAACATACGGTTGCATCTAGCTAGTTCCATGACAAAACGGTGAGACATAGTTGCCAAACTAGTAGCAGGCTTAAATTCCTGCCGTCGAGGTACCAAAGACGAAAGTTCATCAGAAGAATTGTCTCGAAAATAAATTTGGAAAAAAAATAAAATAAATGTATCTCTCTCCCTGTCACTTCTATATATTTATCTTATAACAATAAACGTTATTTTTGTAATTTTCAAAATAAATTCACACATTGAGGGATAAAACCGGAATTTGGATTTACTCAGAGAATATAATTTCAACAGGGAGAACTTTAACCAACATCATTCCTCGGAAGAGTAAGTCCCAACTTCGTTTTTTATCCCTTGCATCGTTGAAAATGAACACAGGTGTGTTCGTAAATTCTGACATTAAAATCTTTGTCTTCGTGATTCAGTTCAGTCAAAAGGTTAATATATAATAAATATTAATTTTATTGGCAGTATTGGTATCATTTTGCTGACATTTTCTTCTTCAAATTTTATTTTTTTAATTGTATCTACACACACACACACACACACACACACACACACGCGCGCGCGTATACATATACAGTCAAACCTCGGATCACCAACGTCTCACATATCGAAAAAGTCGGTTTTTACAGAATACTCGAGATGAAAATGTCTGGGTTTTCAAACAAAATTTCGGTACTCACACAACATTGCCGAACCGACTCGAACTGAATTAATCCGAACGGATTTATTTCTTAGTCAACCG